AGTATGATTATAGCGACTCACTTAGGGGGATAACAATTCATGAAGTTTACGGGGTTTCATAAAACCGAAGTAGGTTTTAGGTTGATAAAAGAAATTTTACTTTCCATAACATTTTAAACTCACAACATTGTTACTAAGAAACGATGATTTCTCATACACTCTAGTCTTTGGTTATAAGGCTACATTTCTCGGATTTCAAGGGAAATACCATATTTTTCTGAAACAAACACGACATTTACATGTGAAATACTCCTACTAAGTTTATTAATAAAAGCTTATGAACTCACCAACCTTTGTGTTGACACTTTTCAAACAACTTGTATTCACAGGAAAACACTAATCAGGTTATCAAGTGCTTTTGAGGATGGGACGTTAAGGCGTCAAACTTTTCATATTTTGACAACATATTGTAATTGATTTTGAAACATGTAATTCATACAAGTGATGTAACTTTTTCAATTATATATATGTTGGTTGTGTTTGCTTAAATTACTATTAAAATTGTGGTTATGATGCTATACATGAAGTCCTCCACCCCCGGACGTTTCCGCCATCCTCGGTTTGGGGGTGTGACATTTTTATTTGTTTAGTTAAATTTCTATGGTTTGGAAAATCATTTAAGTTTTATATAATTAAATTTATATGCGATTCGGAACCAAAAATCGCGCAAAAAACCCGATTTTCCTTCAAAAAATCAATAGTTCCCTGCCTGACTAGTGTTCACAGCCGTGAACCCGATCACGGTCGTAAACCCGTTCACAGCCGTAAACCAATTCACGGCTGGTGGACCCCACCACCGACCATGAACACCCTATATATACGTGATTCCTACCCTCATTTACACTTTTCTGACCGAAAACTCCCCCATTGTCTCTCTAACTTCCCAAACGCAAACACCAAAATACCATACTTTCTTCCAAAAAAATCATCAAGAATCACCTTTAGGCGTTATTGTGGAACATCTAAAACCCTTTTTTTTGTCGGATCAAGCATCGTTGTTCTTGAGTTCACCATCGAGAACCCTTCAAATCTTCAAACCTTCAAGGGCCACAAACCGTTCACGGCCGTAAAATACATGGTTTTATTTTAAGTAATTAAACTACTATACATACTGGTGGTAATCAGGGGTTTTCATACAAGGACATACTATACAAACTGGTAGTAGCCAAGGTTTTCATAAAAGAACATATTATACATTACTGATGTTAACCAGGGTTTTTATACAATACATTACTAATAGTATTCATGGATTTTCATATGCAGTTACAGAATTCAGTAACAAACATTCACTCTGGTCTTAGAGTTTAAGACTACTTTTCAACACTAAGAAAATATTGGATTTTCTTGAGAACATACAAACATTTCCACTGACTCAATGACAGGTTTTCATTACAAAAACATGCTTATGAACTCACCAGCTTAATGCTGATAATCTTTCAAAATAACTTGTATTCTCAGGAAATCAGTAGACATGTACTCCCGCGGCTTTTGAGAAGACGGAGCATATAGAGTTACATCTTTATATTTTGCTACTTTTGATGTATATGAATATAAATCAAACAGATGTGAATAACTTATATATATATATATATATATATATATATATATATATATATATATATTCAATGTAATAGTTGTGCTTATTTTGATTACTATGATGCAATTTTTGTGATACTATACATGACGTCATCCACCCCCGAATGTTTCCGCCGTTTCGGTTTGGGGGTGTGACAGACATCATATTTGGTGATGTGATAACATGAAATACAAATATACCTAAGTACCTACAAATTTTACAAGAACCATTGGACAACATTACCCTCTTCTCAATCATAACAATTATGTGTTTCTTCTTGTTTACCCATGTTCCCTTACTCGTTAAGGAGTCAAATTTACCCCTTCTTACCTACAATCTGCTGTGAGTATATTAATAAAATCAAGCACTAGTTTGTTACCCTGTGGTTTATATTAGCAACATCAAGCCATTATTTCCTTCTTTATATATTCAGGGGCTAAACCTCAAACATGTGTACATTAGGTCTCTTCTTGCTTCAGTCTGCTTCTATGCTTATTAACAGGTAGTCTAAATCAATACAAATACTCCTATACTTTGGGTAAGCTTTTGACCTATTTGACCTAATTCCTTTATAACTCAATTTTTGTTATTTTAATAAAATTTGCTTACCCAAGTTGCTTAGATGATATTACAAAGAGTATCTCCAGTGACACATTCTGTAGGAAACTGTGTGAAGCGTGTTGTTGTCATTTTATCCTCTATCTTCTTCTTCCACACACCCATCTCACTTATCAACTCCATATGTAAATTTACTATAATGGAATTTATTATTTGAAAAAGCTCCTTATGTTTGGTGTGTATTGTGGAAGTAAGTATCTACTTCTACTTCATTAATTAATATATTTATTTATTTATTTTTATATATAGTCTTTTAATCGATGTAGTCTTGAAGATGATAGCCCGTAACATTAACAACAAACCAGAACCACCTCCAAAACCAACATTTGTAGATTGTGAAAAGAAGTTGAATGAGCTTGGGTGGCCCAAAGATGATTCGCGACACCTAATTCCACTCACCATTTTTTGTGATGAAAATGATAAATTTTTTATCATAACATTATATTTTATCTATTAACTAATTAACCACATCTGATTTGTGGCAATTGTTTCTATATTGAGCTTTATGAATCACTTGATCATCTGTGATTTGCATGTGAATCACATGTAAATCATTCATGTAATTCACATGTAAATCAGCTTAATTATGTATTTTTTCTAACCTTGTAGTTTATTTTAATTGCTTTTATATTGAGCCTCATGAATCACTTAGGATTTATACGTGAATCACAAATAAATTATATGTGATTCACATGTAAATCACAAGTGAATCATATGTAATTCACAAGTAAATCATATGTAATTCACAAGTAAATCACAAGTGATTCACATATGAATTACATGTGACTCACATGTAATTCACATGTAAATCACAATGAATCGTCTATGAGTTACATGTGATTCATATGCAATTTACATATAATCACATGTAAATCACAAGTAAATCATAAGTGGTTTACATATGAATCACATGTAATTCATATGTAAATAATCTTAATTGTTTATTTTTTCTAACCATCTAGTTTATTTTAATTGCTTTTATATTGAGCTTCATGAATCACTTATGATTTACACGTGAATCACTTGTGAATCACATATAAATTATATGTGATTCACATGTAAATCACAAGTGAATAACATGTAATTCACAAGTAAATCACAAGTGATTCACATATGAATAATATGTGATTCATATGTAATTCATATATGAATCACATGTAATTCACAAGTAAATTTCATATGAATTACATGTAATTTAAATATAAATTACAAGTGAATCACATATGAATTACGTCTATATGTACACATGTATTCTTGTGAGTTTTATTGCATTAATTATTTTTTTTTATTTTTCTTGTAGATTTGGAAGAATTTGTGGAAAATGTTGAAGATGTGAAAATGATAAATTAAAGAAAATATGGAAATCTTGACACGAAGACATAAAAATGCTTTGAATTTTTGTAGTATTTTTTGTTTTTTTATATTTTATTTTGTATCGAATAAAATACTTGTAATATTGTATTTATAGATTATTAAATAAAAATGGATTTTTTTATATAATTACTTGCGAATATTACCGTATAAGAAAGATGTTTATATGTACTTCAAAAATATGCATATATGCACCTGAAACGTTCATTTTTTTTTTTGTTAAAAAACTTAGTTTTTTTTAAACATTCTATTTTTTTAATTTATTGATTTTAAAAAAATTATTTTAAAGAAAAAATGAAGTTTTATAAAAAAAATTGTAGTTTTTGCGAAAAATTTGCAGTTTTTTTTTTTTGAAAAAATTGCAGTTTTTCTATAAAAAAAATATGTAGTTATTTTTTTTTTAATTACAGTTTTTTTAAACAAATTGCAGTTTTTAAAAAAAAATCAATTTTTTTAAAAAATTCATGTTTTCTGAAAAAAAAATATATAAAATCTCCATTTAAAAAAAAAACGGAAATTGTTTTTTTTCCTAAATCCGAAAATTTAATTTAATATGTACTTTTTTAGAAATTTCTATTAATATTTCCAATAACACAAAAAAATTAAATATTAAATAAGATTGGTAAGATTATGATCATATCCTTAATGAATTAGTTTTAATTTAACGCTTCACTTTTAGTTCTCGGGTAACTACGAGTTCTCTACCGTTCTTACCCTTATATATATATATATATATATATATATATATATATATATATATATATATATATATATATATATATATATATATATATATATATATATATATTCATTTGAGACTATTCTAATTTTATGAGATCGTGAGATCAAATCTAAAAATTATTTTAAAATGCAAAATAAATGAAAAAATCCATAAATTCTTTTTTTAAATATTATTTTCAGAACTTGAATTAACTAAAAAAATAAATAAATAAATTTCATTTCTTTTTTAAAAATACATAAAATATTCTAATAGAATATTACAATGATATATTCTAAAAAAATAATTTTAAAATGCAAAATAAATGGAAAAATTCAGATATTTTTTTTAAATATTATTTTTAAAACTTGAACTAATTAAAAAAAATCCTGTTTTTTTTTTTTTTAAATACGTGAAATATTCTAATAGAATATTACACTATACATATTCTAAAAAATAATTTTAAAATGCAAAATAAATGGAAAAATCCAAAAATTCCTTTTTTGAATATTATTTTCGGAACTTGAATTAACAAAAAAAATTAAAATAAAAAAAAATATATAAAAAAAAATAAAAAAATACATCTCACTGTCTTACAAAATTAGTCGTTTTATATATATATATATATATATATATATATATATATATATATATATATATATATATATATATATATATATATATATATATATATATATATATATATATATACATGCAGGCGTATCCATTAACATATTTAAAAAGAGAAAAGAGAGATGTATGATGAGAGTGCGAGTGAGTGTCACCCTCTGTTACAAGGTGGGAGAGATGAAGAATACAAAACTGGAAGCTTTTCTTCATCAGAAATGGAGACTATTTCCAGCATATGTGAAGTTATCGTGCAGCCACTCCCTCTGAGTTCTCTCGATGGTCATGAGAAAAAAGCTAAAGAATCTATTCAGTCGTTCTCTACTGCTTCCGGTTCTCAATACCCAATTCCTAATAAGGTATAATATCAAAAAAACTTAAACACTCTTCTATATTCTAAATTCGAATTCTTTTTTTTTTTTTTTTTTTTTTTTATTTCGAAGTGGAAATATAAATAATAAAAAAATACGGAACTGGAAACAGGTAGCTCACATACTGGTAACGACCGCTTTTTTTGAAGAAATGTTGGTGGTGAAATTGGTCACAACTCTTTTATCAACCAGGCTAGGCACCCTTTTACTTTCTGGGTTTCTTTGTATTTCTCATAAATGGCCATATATACACAAGTTCTCCGAAATCTCACTACATAAGAGGCAAAAGATTCTGCAGAAATGGTTCAAGAATGGGTATATATCGCCTATCAGACTCGGATTGTTGTTGATCAAGTCGATCTGCCTTTTGGTCTTCTTTTCTAAGGTGATCTCTTCTTCCTCTTTCTCTTTATTGGCCAGTTTATCCCAAATAATAAATAAATAAATAAATAAATAAAATACATTTCTGATCATAATACTTGAAAAGAGACCCTTGGTACATATATTTTTTATGAAACCCAGTGTGAGACAAATACGACCCACCTATTTGATTGGTGAAAATAAATAATTTGGATGACGAATACGCTGTCTAAGTTTTTTTTTTTTTTTTTTTTTGTTAATAAAAATACGCAACAGATACCTTGAACAGTTTTTACACTTACTCCAACCACCAGTTCCTTTGTCTGATGCAAAAATGTAAGTGGTCCAAGAGACATTATCAACATGCAAACATAGATATCAACGACCATTAGATCCACATTTCTGCAAAAAAAAAGTACACAACGCCCGATGCAAACATAAATATTTTAGATCAAGATCTTGTTCGACCTTTGATCTGACACACCCCAACACTTTAGGAGAATATGTAACTGGTAGACAACCCGCAATGCCAAAGAAAAGCCACAATTTTTGTTTTTTTTCCTAGGATGTACATACAACTAATCATTTTCAACTCATTTTTATTTTTATTTTTTCCAAAAATAAGGTAAATAGTGTTTCATCTCCAGTCCTACTTCATTTTTACCTAAATTTTATCTCCAAAAAATATATTTCAAGTATATTTTATTTTTCCAATTTATATAGATTGTCAATTATACCTTTTCTATTAATTTGGTTTTAACAAATATATAATCTAAATTTTTTTTATTACAATACTATTAAATAAATAATATTATATTTATAACACATAATTATAAACTTTTGTAAAATACGTTATCGTATTTTAAAATTTCAATATGTATTTAAAATTTCATATGAATTTGATAAACAAAAAATAAACTTTATATTTATAATTAATTAATATTCTTTAATACATAATATAATATTATAAGTATTAAATAATACATTTAAATTATAATTAATGGATAAGATAAACTAATAATATACAAAAAAAAAAAAAAAAAAAAAAAAAAAAAAAAAAAAAACTCATAATTCAAAGTTCATCCCATTTTGGAAAATTAATAGTTTAAAATCAAATATGGGAGTAAGTTGGAAATGCTATAAGAGAGAGAATATAAGTCCAGTTTGATAAGTAACCAATTTTTGTAAACACTTATAATTATAATACAAGGAAAACAACTGATATGATGTTCTTGAAAAATGCCCAACAGGTCGATGGGAAAACAAATAATCCTACATGGGAAGCCATCGGCTACCACGTAGACCTTAACGAAGAACAACCCAAAAGTAACCCAAACGAGCGCCCTCTACAGAAAGGAATGGTGGAGCTTATGAATGAAAAGGATCATACTCATACACTTGTGCAATCTCTCCGTAAGAAAGGCATGGATGTGAGAGAAGACCTTAAAGAGAAAATCTGCCGAATAAAATGTGACGTTGTAATAGTCGGCTCTGGTTGTGGTGGTGGTGTTGCAGCTGCCATACTTGCAAAATCCGGCAAGAAAGTTGTCGTTCTTGAAAAAGGAAACTACTTTTATAAGACAGATTATTCAAAACTCGAAGGGCCTTCTCTTGATCAACTCTATGAATCAAAAGGAGTATTTCCAACCCTTCAAGGGAGTGTAATGATCCAGGCAGGAACTGGAGTTGGAGGTGGGTCAGCAATTAATTGGTCAGGTTGCATCAAGACACCACAATCTGTGCGAAAAGAATGGGCAGAAGATTACAACATTAAGTTATATGAAAGCCATGAGTATACTTCTGCGATGAATAAAGTGTGTGAAAGAATCGGTGTTACTGAAAGGTGCGCAAAAGAAGGATTCCAAAATCAAGTTCTTCGTAAAGGGTGTGAGAATCTTGGTCTGAAAATCGATTTTATCCCACAGAACGCATCCGAGAATCATTACTGTGGTTCTTGTTGTTATGGTTGCAGATCAGGAGACAAAAAGGGAACCGATTCGACTTGGTTGGTTGATGCAGTCGATCATGGCGCTGTGATCATAACCGGATGTAAAGCGAAGAAATTTATTTTAGCAAGAAACCGACAAGGGACGAAAAGAAGACATAAATGTTTAGGAGTAATTGCTGAAGCTTTACACCAAGAAACCTATAAAACATTACTCATCGAAGCAAAGGTGACAATTTCTGCATGTGGGTCTCTTTTAACGCCACCATTAATGAAATCTAGTGGTTTGAAAAACCCTAATATTGGCCGGAATCTTCATCTCCATCCTGTTGCAATGGCATGGGGATACTTTCCAGAGAATGAAACAGATCTAACAGGCACAAACTACGAAGGAGGGATACTGACATCCGTTCATAAACCCGGGTCAGATGAGAACTACATCTTGGAAGTAACTGCACTCGGACCTGGATCTTTCGCTGGTTTATGTCCATGGCTTTCTGGGCAAGACATAAAGGAAAGAATGATGAGATACTCTCGAACAGCTCATGTGTTTTCATTGATAAGAGACAGTGGACCTGGGAAAGTAAAGTCAGCAGGAAGGATAAGTTTTAGATTCAGCAAATATGACAAAGAAAATATGAAGAAAGGGTTGAGACAAGCGTTAAGGGTGTTGATTGCAGCTGGGGCTGTTGAAGTGGGTACTCAAAGAAGCGATGGGCAGAAATTGAAATGCAAAGGGACAAGTGAAGAGGAGATCGAGGAGTTCTTGGAGACAGTAGAAGCTTTACCTGGTCCGATGTCAATGGTGGAACGTTGGACTCTATACTGTTCAGCTCATCAAATGGGGAGTTGCAGAATGGGGAAAAGTGAGAAGGAAGGTGCAGTGGATGAGAATGGGGAGAGCTGGGAAGCGGAGGGACTTTATGTTTGTGATGCGAGTATTTTACCGACTGCTGTTGGTGTTAATCCCATGATCACTATCCAATCGACTGCGTATTGCCTTGCAGAAAGAATTGCTGATGGCTTTAGATAAAAAGTTGTATGAAGAATTCAAGTTTGGTTATTGGAAGCTTATTATAGAAATAATGCTTGTTATTTCAATGGTGTGTGAGCTTTATGTGTGTATAACATTACTTGGGTTGTAAACAAATGGATATTCTATCCTTAGCAAAGTAATAAATTTATCAATCCACTATTTATCATCCTAAAAAATGAATTTTTTCTGCATTTCTAGTCTAGAGTTGTTTACTATATCTCGTTTTCTCCACGATCCAAATGCTTAAAATCTTGGGTGTGAAGGCTATTAGGTTTTTCTATAAATATTTTTCTTTACACAGGCATCGCCACTAAAAGTCTACGTCGTCGCCTCTGTCACCATTGAAGGTAACCACCACTAAAGGTATTTATTCTTTTTAGGATATTAGTCCACTACATTTTCAAAAAAATTGTGAAGCTTTTATCATTTGTTTGGAGAAAAAGATAAAATATCATTATTACAAAAAGTTGTATAACCCAAGTTCATAGATTACTTGCATATCTACATACATTCAAGCTCACCAACTAAGATCTAGTAATTAATGGCCATAAGTGGTTGATTCATACCGAATCCTCTTGTGGTGCTAATCGGGAGCCACGATTGTGGCCTCTCGTGCTTCCCACCACAAATTAAGTTCCATGAGCAGGTATTTCTTCTTCTCTCTTCTCCTTTTCTTCTCTCGTGCAGGTTACAATCCACTATGACCATAATAACTATGGGGAGTATACTGACTTTGCTGTGGAAGAAAGATGGTGGGTGATGATGGTGAGGTGTACACACACCATGAGCCCTCTGATGAGGGTGTGGTGTGCATACAGGAAAGCCTAAGATCAATAAAGGGGATTCAAAATAAATAATATATTTTTAGATAAATTATCATTAACAAAAATAATAAATTAGTAATTTATTAATTATTAATTCAAATTATATAAAATAGTATATTAAATAATTAAATAGAAAAATAATTAGATTAAGATGGAGCTTCTTGATCTATTTTGCCTGTGTCGCACATATATTAAAATTCACAAATTGTTTTTTTAAAGAGCGTTAACCTGAAATGAAACGATATGTGCACCTTGTTCTTGGTATATATGTAGAGGAGAGTCTTGTAACCACTTCAGACATTCTCTAGCCGCCTAAAACTTATAATTATTATAAAACTTAGATTTATTTTTTAAATTAAAAACTTAAATTTATTTTAACTTTATCTATGATAAATAATTTGAAGATGAAGGAAGAGTGTTTGGTGAAAGATGGTGTCATTCAAGCTAGAATTGGCAGGGTAAGCATATTTTGGATCTCTATAAGTCCTTAAGCTTGGATGTTCTTGTGTTCTTATGCTTAGATCTACATTTCATTGCTAGTTTTGGTCCCTTTGTTGGTTATGTGATGGAGTTTAAGTAACTCCAGGTCCTTAAATATTTGCGAAGAGCAAAACACATGTTCTTGGTTCTTGGTGGTAGTGATACGTTAAGAGTGAGTGGTTATAGTGATGCTAGTTTTCAAACAGATTGGGACAGCTTATGTTCGCAGTCTGGTTGGGTATTCTTACTGAATGGAGGAGAGGTTACTTGGAAAAGTTCCAAGCAAGACATAGTGGCTAATTCCACATGTGAGTCTAAGTACATTGCAGTGAGTGAAGCATCAAAGCAAGTGACTTAGCTGAAGAACTTTATCGAAGATCTGGAGTCATTTCAACTATTCATGAGCCAATGGAACTTTTCTATGATAACGAAGGTGCAGTTTCTTTGACAAAAGAACCAAAGGATCATGGTAGATCCAATTATAACGATAGAAGTACCATTACATTCAGCATTCGTTTGAACAATGACATCTTCTGGTGAAAAGAGTATCATTAGAAGATAATGTTGCAAATCCTTTCACAAAGGCTCTGAGCAGGGTCAAAATCTACCACCATGCTAGGAGCATAGGCCTCAGAGACGATATTAGTTTTAGTAGTTATATGATATATTTGAAACTTATAACAAAACAAATGCAATTGATTTGGTGAATGAATAATAGAGAATTATTTATGAGTATCGTACTGCCTCACTCAATTATTTATTCTAGTGTTTTTTTCCTGTTTACACTTCCTGCATAATTTAAATTATTCAAACTTCCACAGTCAATCATACTTCTGTAAGTAAGTAGCGAATTAAGACTTTCATGAATTGATTGTAGGTTGTCGATTGAGATTAATGTTGGAATAGTGTCTAAGGTTGCAACTATATTTGGTGAGTACTTGACCCGATTGAGAATGATCCTTTTGGGTTGCCTTCACCATAGCAACTTGACAGAATGATTTATGATGAGAGAAGAAATATTATTAATATATTATAAGAATAATATAAGGAATAATAATATTGTTATTTGATTAATATAAGTCAGAAATTAATTATGAATTAATTTGGTGACTTAGAAATATTAATTGAATAAAAGGGCATAAACTGTCAATTGTGTGATAGTTGTATTTTGAGCAGTGACTCCTTAGAGATAAGGGGTGGACGGATTTTAGGGTTTGGATAAGCCTACAAATCGTCCAAAGGCTTATCATAAGGAGATTGGATTGCTTAGAGCCTAAGTTATCCAATTAAGGTTTTAAGGGTGAAACTCTAGGATGCTCACTAGTATAAATACACCCATAGTGAAACGACCCAAATATCACGACTAAAATTTTCTTTTTAAAACATTACTAAAACCATATTCATAAAAACCGTATCATAAATCATAACATAATTTCGTAGCATTGATTCGAAATACAAACTTATCATCAGAGTAAAACATCCCAGGCTAGCTGACTATGGTGTGTGCACTGCAATCTTTCCGAGCTCCTCTTTTGAAAACTGAGTACCTGAAACCAAAAACTGAAACTGTAAGCACGAAGCTTAGTGAGCTCCCCCAAACTACCACATACCATACAATAACATATAAAGCACATACTAGGCCTTGCCTACTGCATCAGACCGAGGTCCGGACTAACTGGGGCCTTGCCCCGTGCATCGGACCGAAGTCTGGAAACTGACTGGGACCTTGTCCCCTGCATCGGACCGAAGTCCGGACTAACTGGGGCCTTGCCCCCTGCATCGGACCGAAGTCCAGAAACTGACTGGGACCTTGTCCCCTGCATCGGACCGAAGTCCGGACTAACTGGGGCCTTGCCCCTGCATCGGACCGAAGTTCGGAAACTGACTGAACATAGCATAGCATAACATATCAACTAGCATGAACACATATACTGCATACTGCATCGGGCCGTAGCCCGGAACACATAATACATAACACATAACACATAAATCCTGTCTGAGCCACGAAGGCATCAAACATACTAACTACTACATCGGACCGAGTCCGGAAACTACTGCTAACTGAACTGGCCGGCATTATGGCCTTAGACCCGTTCCTACTGGAAGGAAACTCACCTGAACTGCTGAATTCTGCTGGTAACCCTCGGACTGCTAACTAACCACCGTCTGAAACGCTGGTCCTCTAACTCTCCGAGCTACCAATAACAAAGCGACACTTAGCCTGACAGTCCTCTAAAAGTCAACTAACTCAACTCCGATCAAAGTCAAAGTCCTGGCCAAAGTCAGCCTTCCATGTTGACCCTACTCGCCGAGTCAGTCTACTGACTCGCCGAGTTCACTGATTTCCGAGTTTTGTCCTGTCCAACTCACTGAGTCCCCACTCAACTCACTAATCTGAGCCTTGACTCGAAGGGTTTGGGGTTTCGCGACTTGACTCACCGAGTCCAAGGCAATCTTCAACAGACTCGCCGAGTTGTTCATCCAATTCGTCGAGTTCGCCTCCATCTTCATACTACTCTCCGAGTCCACTCAAAGGACTCGCTGAGTCTATTCAGTCCTTAATCTATGCAGTGGCTTTTCGAGCCAGACAGGGCTTCCAACTCATAGATCCATACTTCTAAGGCCTATCCCTCACGTAAACTGGCAAACTTTACGTGTAGATAAAGAGATCTAGGCTTAAAACAATCCAAACTAGGGTTTAAGACAAAGAGGCTTCACTATCAACCCAAGAACAGATGCTTTATGACTTTCTAGGCCAAGACACACTCAGATCTGAAGTAGCAACTTCAGATCTGGGCTTCTAACTCGAAATAGTTCTTAAGCATGGCATAAGAGCCCCAAATCTCATAGCTAAGGTTGATCTATTAAACAAAAGAGGGAAGGTAACGATTTATTACCTTTAAATGCTCAGAAATGTTCCACCAACTCTGGATCCAAGGCCCCCTTCTTGCTCCACTATGACTATCTTCTCTCTCAAGCTCAAAAAAGCTTCACCAAGGGTAGATCTTGCTCCAAAACGATTATGGCGGCTAGGGTTTAGTGTTCTGAGTTAGAGAGGCAGTAAAGGAACCCTACGGGAGAGAATGAGACGTTTAAATAATCTCAAAGTCCCGGATTTAGGGTTTTCCTCGCTCAGACCAGACTCGCCGAGTTACCTTGGCCGACTCGCCGAGTTGGTCGCTTACACCTCGACCTGGATCCCGCTCGGACTCGTCGAGTCCCTCCTTGGACTCACCGAGTCTCCCCTTAAAATTAGGGTTTTCTTTCTTTTCTTGGCTTTCCAAACTTTGGGTGTTACAACTCTCCCCCACTTAAACTAAACTTCGTCCTCGAAGTTTGCTTCGATCCACCGACTGTGATCTGCCTCCAATACCCCACCGCTCATTCTAACACCAACTGTCTACCTTTTCTGGCCTTCCGTTCAGTCATTCAGACCAATGTCAATCCTTACAAATAATAATCTCGGGTCCATCCTGACCCTGAACATTCTGGAAACGCAACTCACTCAACCGACAATCTTTCTGATACTCTCCAAATACTGCACTGACCCCGTAGGAGTTCACCCCTTCTTTCCTTGCACGATTTCCTTGCCTTCCCAAGGCGATGCTCCATAACTACCTACCTCTTCCGTCACTGTGAAGACCCTGTCTCCACCAAATCTATTACTCCCGCTACTCCCAGTACGGGTCATCG